CAGGTTATCAGCTATGTCTGATTACTAGGATATTTTGTGTTTATGTTAATAAAAATAAAAGACAAATCTTTTCAGCCTAGTAGCCACATAAATAATCACAAAAATTAAAATGTCTAATATATTGCAAAATAACCGTATTAAACAACAACCTTACCTCTTTTTTTTGCATTTTTATTTTGCAAGTCTGGAGYAGCCAACTAAAAGAAATGATATTAAAAAAAAAATATAATAAAACATTATTATTCATTTATGATTTATGTATAATATTATAAATAGGATACAGATGACAGATATTTTTTAAGCAACAAAAAAACTACAGTCAATCTCAGTTATTTAGTCCAGTAAACTAGCTATTTTTAGTTTTCATTATAATATACCTGGGATGGGAAATTTTAGAAAATTAAAATCTAGTGAGCCAGAGCATAGAAAGCAAAAAAAAAGTCGTTCAAAATATACGTTTTAATTAGCATTTATTTTATTTATAATGTRTTAGGTAATACAAAAAGGGTTATTAAAAATAATTTAATTAAATATTTTTTAGTGCGAGTTTTGAGCATGTGCGGCTTCTAATGACATCGCGACAAAATCGACTTCTATTTCGGACGAAGAGACACGAAGTAGGTGACTTAATGTTTCATCTGTAAGTTGATTTCTATGTTTTGATTTAATGTTTCATGTTTGAAAATGTACATTCACAAATGTAAGTAGTTYCAAACATGGATAACATTTTTAATGCGAACTCTCGTAAGAGTGGATATTTAAGAATAGGTAATTTTTTTCAAAATTTTATGTCAATCTCTTTTGAAGATAATAATAATGGACCTGATTGCAACTCACATAATTCTAATTGAAGTTCAGCATCTAGCTTTTAAATTTCAACTGCCATTGGATTATTAAACAAATTTATTTGAGGGAGCATAAGTTTAACTTCTTCAAATCGTCTTTTGAATTCTACAGTTAATTAGTCCAAGTGGGTAATGTAATTTTAAAAATTAAACTCKCTGTTCATTTTACAACACAGAAAATGTGTTAGTTATTTTTCTACRAATACATTTTTAAAAACTACCAATATTTTTCTGAATCCATCTAAAAATACAATAATTTGAGAAATTGTTTGTTTTTTACCTTGAAGTTATAAATTTAATTTATTTAAATGTTGATAAATATCAGTTAAAATGCCAATGAACATAAAAATTGTTTATCRACCATTTGATTTTCCAAATACATAGTGTCAGTTTTAATATTCGTTTTAAGAAACACAAGTATTTCTTTTCTAAAAACAAAAAAACATTTGACATACTTTCCACAACTTAACCAGCGTACATTCGTGTGTAATAGTAAATCACCATACCCACAATCAAGTTCTTCCAGATATGTAATAAAATTACTGTGGTTAAAATTAYSGTTGTCTRCTCTAATCCGATTAGTAATTTTAAATTCAGTATTCATAACTCCGTCAAGCTTCATTATTTTTCCACACAACACTTCCTGATGAATAATACAATGTATAGCAGGAACATTAACGTTAGATTTGCGTAATAAACCAACAAAACCAATATTTTTGACAACCATGGCTTTGGCACCATCTATCAMAATCTATGACATTYTTTTGAGTCTACCAAATAGTTTAATTACGTTTTTTACTGCATTAAATATATCACTTCCTTTGGTAATTTCATGCAAGGAATATAATTCTAATAGCTCTTCATACACTTCAAACAGTGGAGATATAACTCTAACAAAAATCAAAAGTTGACTTATATCTGAAACATCTGTGCTTTCGTCCAATGCAATCGAAAAATATGCATAATCCGTCATAATAGTTTGCAATGTCTTACGAATGACACTATCAGTGTCAGTTACACGCCGTGTCACTGTGCGTCTTGAAAGTGATATTTTTTCAAATTCATTGGCAATTTTGTTTTCGTTAATTGATTTAGACATTTTTACTGCAGTTAAAACAAATTCATCATCATTCAATGATTTTTTAGATTTTGC